AGTAGGTGTACAATTTTGGCTATAGAGCAAAGCATCATCCAGATAGCTTACTTGGGCTAGACAAGCTCATTATGCCTCCGTGTCTGTCTGTTGATGGAAGGCATTGTGCAGGAGGCAAATGAGGGCGGCTTAGATAGAACTCCATACCCGTTCAAATGGGCATAAGCATGGCTACACAGAGGTAAAGGCCATATAACAATTTACCTAAACTGTGCGCAAGAATACACTTAATGATGTGTCCGAAATAAAGAACACAAAAATTCATGGCAGGATCTGGCAGCACAACTTCCTTCATCAGCATAATTCGGGTACAGACGTAATGCTGATGACGAAATTAGAGATAACAAATCAGCTAAGAAGCAAGAGGCAAGTTATTTTGCATATTGGAAGAAATATGGTAGATATGATCAACGCCGGTATAGATGTAAAGAAGATGCGGATGAATTGATAATAAAACAATGTAGTTTAGGACTATTTGTTAAAAGAGACACAAATAAGTGTGATTGGAAAAATAGAGTAAAACACGAGCTCTCTGACGAGATGTATCTCCCATAAGAACTCTAATTGTAAGGAGTGCGTGAACAGAGAGAAGTGCCTATCCCAACAAAGCGGTCAGTAAGTACATCCTAAACACCAGGCACGGAGCTGGAAGAGATTAGTTAAAGCAATAGACAGGGGCTAGCCACATTTTTTTAAACAAAGGGAAAACGGTGTAAAGCTACCAGCTGTTTTGAAGAATATGTACAAGATTCAGATTTTATCTGAGCAAAAACAGAATCTGGAATAGACTAGACACCAAAGTAAGAATAAAGAAAAAAAATCAGTGATGATAGAAATGTGGACGGTCTATTGGTAGCATAGTTTATTAGAGAATATATAAGTATGAGTGTATCTATACATAATAATATAAAAGCCTCTTCATACAGTTGGAAATAAATATAAAAGAGTAGAATGTAAAATATCCACATTTTTTATATCAGGCAACCTGATAAAATAAAAATCAAGTTATTTCTGCTGCAAAAATGTAAAAAGAATGCTTTATGTTAATACATTACCTCTTCGGCCTATAGCATTATTTAAATGTGAAATAGGAGAAAAACCACGTTAAGGTCATGAATCACTTTGGAAACACCAGATATTTGGCAAGTTGAATACTCACATAAGTCCGTCAATGGAAACAAAATGTCATAAAGGATATAAAAGGACAAGAATGAGGGCAGCTTTAATTAAAAAGAAATCGAATAAAATGTGCATCAAAAAATATCCTCAAGTTTACATTAAAATTGGCTGAGATATAAAATAGATTCCGAAACGGATACAGTAAATGGAAAAAGACAGATAGGGGCTAATTTTAGTTGGCTAGGAAACCTTATGCATGAATTAAATTTAAAGGGATTACAAGTTGAAAAGGTATGAAAAGATTGACTCGAGAAAGTGAGCGCACATAACTTTTGTTATCATCTCCTGCGAAGTAAGCAGACAAAATGGATGCAGTGGCATTGAACTAATTCACATAAAATTAACTGTATAACCTATTTCCTTAAAAAAGGTGGATACCTCAAGACAATCTGCAAGGTAAACTATTCATTCCTAGCAATAAAACATGATAAAAATGACAAATATAACATATAAGCGAATGTGAAGAAGCGAGCAGGAAGAAATGAACTGCAAAACGGACTAATATAGAGTTTAAACACAGTCCGTAAACATAGCAACTTATATAAGGAAAGTTGCATCAGTAGTTCAGCAGTTAGGTAAAGAAAAAAACGTGATAAGTGTTGATAAAAATCAAAAAAATGTTGAATGAGTGGCCACTTAAGTTTTACAAAGCCCTCGAACTAAATCAGACCATCTCTTTGATATGGAATCAAAGAGTGTATCATGTCCATCGAAAAGATGAATTATTGAGGATAAAAAATAAGTATATAATTAATATTCAGAGAGTTTTATGATGGTGAAATTACTGAAATTGGAGTCACTCAGCAATATATTGTTCTATGGGAGCTGGACAAAGACTATCCTTAAAGCACAAATTAGAGGCGATATGGCTCAAGGTACCTGAAATATCGCAAAATAAGACACTAGACAAGATACCCTTAACAAACACTTTCTTCATGACCTTTCACTTTAAATAACAAGTGTCAGTGGGATAAATTACAATTATACACAATATAACTGAGTGATGAACAAATCTCACCAAAAAACCTGGTGCTGAAAATCAGAGAAAAGAAAAGCCTAAAAATTGAGAGCAAGGTGTTTGGCAAAAATGACAAAGCTTCGAAATGTCGCGAGTATGGTGATAATGACCACTAGGGTAGCAATCTTATTTAAATTTGGATGATTAAAACAGTAAATTGCACATTATAGGATTCAAAAGCCCTCAAAAATTGAATATTAATGTAGAAAGGTTCAAGAACAATAAAACTCTATAGTTCATGTCTGTAACTCAGATACCATCAAGCGGACAAAACTAGCAATCAAATCAAATCAAGATTCCATGAATAATTTAAAGACATGTATTAATTTGAGAAATAATAAAGATTTAGCCGAGCGAAAAATTGACTTTAGATCACTTTGCAAAAGTTTGGTTAGCAATATAATTCTTAAACGCATAGATACAGATTGAAAAAAGAAGCTGTAATTAAAGTGAGTTTAGGTTTTCGGTAAATTTAAAATGCGTCAACGAAAAAGAATAGATGATAGCAAGTGATAAACTCTTGCAGAGAAGATTCCTATAAATATTAGGAGTGACAGTATTACTGCATCAAGGATTCTGAGATCAACCAATCAGAGTCAACCGAATCTAGGCTGGATAGATCTGGCGGGCTCATATAGCTGCTGTTGCTAGGTGCCTGGGGCTGTATTAGTTGTGGCCGTTGATGCAATTGATGTTGAGACAGGCGTGTTTCGGTAGCCAAGAGTGAAGAGGCCGGAGTCGTTATGGAAATTTGAGCGGATGCAGGGAGACTAGCTGGCGTTATGTTGGTGGCCGGTGATATCATCATTGCTACTGGATCAGAATTCACAGATGCATCTCGTGGCAATATGTCGTTATGCAGACATTGCAAGCCCCCAGGTGATAGACTAGGGTTCCCGCGGCTTGTGTGCGAAACTGAACCGCGGGGTGGGCCTCCAGTGGAAGGTGAAACAGTACCAAAAAGTGGAATGGAACCACTTGAGCCGGAAGAGTAGCAGGATGTCGCAGTGGTTGAGGGATAATCGGGCTGATTCGGTCCAAAAGGGCGGCTGGCTGATTGGTGAGGTGAGTAAGCCACCTGATACTTTGATGCGGAGGAAGCCGAGCTATATCCAACCTCTTCACCAGAACACGTATGCTGTTGGCTAGGCGATGAAGTGTGCTGAGAATGGTAGTGATGATGGTGATGATGATGGTGATGATGGGGATGAGTGTGGTGATGAGGTCGGTGGGCGTGTGAGTGTGAATGGGGATGCATGTGCTGATTAGGATGCTGATGCGTGACTAAATGTGCATGAGACTGCATAGGAAGAGAAACTGATGACGCCTGTGCAGGAGACGTGGGTAAGGGTGAGGGCTGAATTGAGGGAGTTGGCGAGGTTCGTGGATAGCAAATAGAATCGCAGAAGCCAGAGGGCAAATAGCCATCGTCGTCGGGGGTGCTTGGACAGCCGCTAAGCGGTCCCGCAGGAGGGCACCAGTATTCATCGCCAGAATACAGAATACTATCGTTAACTGCATCCGCTGAATATTATCGAGTGGGTAAAAATGAAGTTACAGGGTTAAATAAATGAAAGTTTCAAAGAAGCTATAAAATAATATACCCGAGGTTAATATTTAGTTGTGACGTACCTAATAAGCATACAGGAAATCAGGCTTAAACTAAAAGGCCTGGAGACAAAAGCAGCATGAGATATCAAAGGTTTATAGCCAGCATTATCAGAGTGTAGGATAATTCTAGAAATCGATAACCAAGTCGGACATTTAATTTTATTCTCATAAAGTTTTATATGAAAACTTCATCAAAAAATACACTTAGTCGATATACATAATAAACTTCACAATCAGCATAAATTTAGAATAAGGAAAACTAGATTGCATTCTGGTAAAGATGAACAAGTTCCCGTTACAACTGAAAAAGTAAGAATTGACCAAGTTAAGTAACAATTCATCTTAATTGTGCCATATGGGATTTGAATGCGAATCGGAACAAATACTAGCAAGTGCTACTTAAAACTAATTAAGACTATTTCCGATTTACACAAAATAATGGGCAAATTATAAGAATAAATAGGCCAATTGGATGCCAAAATCAATAACATTCTCTACTTAAAGGAAGATAGTTGTTCAAAAACCAAAAGTAAAAATAGAAAATTTAGGTACTAAGTAAGCGACGCCTAAAAATTTAAGACCCCAAACATTGTTTTTGTTTCTTACTTAGCATATAGGAGGGCGTATGCCGGACCATTGGTTGAGTACCAACCGACGATTCGTGTTGCTTTTGTTCATGCTGGGCTATTTGTTGGGAATGATGGCTCCCCGATTGTAAGGTAGCCTCATAGGCTGGCGGAGGAGGCCCAAGCATCGCACTCAGCGACCCGGGTACTGGAGAGTCAGGTGCTCCAGAAACAGTGAAATGGTCATCGCCACAAGTTGACTGTAGTAACTCTGATGAAAGTTGTGGATGCGGTGCCGGTACCAAAGCAAGAGGTGAACGGACGAACTCAACTTCGAGAAGATCATCATCGTCGTTTGCAGTACTGCTGAGAGGACTTGTTAATCCGGGGGCAGGTAGCAGTAGCAGGCTGAGCTCACCATTACCAGAAGCACAAATATTACCGGATGCACGATCAAGGGTAGATATTTGACTCGACAAACCAACAGGACAACGGGGTTGAGGACTGCGGCTCAGGCCATGAGAATAAGAAAGGCCACAATTAGATCCTGAAAGATTGGTATATACGCCTATAGGGAAAAGAAATAAAGAAGCGGATAATTAATTCTTACAAGAATGTATAGTCTAGTTGCAATAAATATCGGAGGC